GACTCGCGGGCGGGCTCAGTGGGCAGGGCCAGAATCCTTCCACTAATCCCAGTTGACGGGCTGACAGGCCGACATTCGTTTGTCAGCCAACTGCAAACGGAAAGCAGGATCTTGGTGTATTTATGGTGATCCTGTCATTACACTCAGCACGATGAGACGTTGGTGTAAAAATAAAAAATAAATGGCCACACGGTTGAAATTAGCCTGGCTCCGACCCGGCCCAGGACGGCCCCCAAACGGGCGGCCGAAACGGCTGTGCATTGGTGGGATTTTTCTGTTTTGTTTTGAATTTTTCTACTTTCTGAAAATCCTGTCCCGGGAAATACCAAACGGGAAGAGAGCAGGCAAAGAACATTCCTTCTGTCACTTCAGCAATGAGGTTCTTTTATTAGTAGACTTCTGGTTTTAGAGTGGTTTTAGGTTTGCCCAGAAATAGAGCGGAAAGCCCGAGTCGCCACCTCTGTCCTGCCTCACCACCTCAGTTTTCCGGGTTACCGACGCAGCATGTGGGAGTGGTACCCCCAGTACCTGTGGATACGCCATCATTAGGTAAAGCCCGTACTGTACGTGAGGGTCATTCCTGGTGGTGGACATTCTGGGGGTTTTGGCAAACGTATGATGTCACGTATGCACCATCTCAGAGTCATGTGGAGGAGTCTCACTGCCCTAAATATCCCCTGCAGCGATGAGATGTGAGAGCATCTTTTAGAGCAACAGGGCTGTCCCCACTGGCAGGGACATGGAGAGCCAGGAGGGGCTAGAGCATGGCTCTGTAGTTTACGTTTAAAAAGAAAGGCACAAAGGGGCGCCTGGGGGGCTCAGTCGGTTAAGCGCGTCCGACTTGGGCTCAGGTCATGATCTCATGGTCCGCGGGTTGGAGCCCCGCATCGGGCTCTGTGCTGTCAGTTCGGATCCTGTAGCCTGCTTCGGATTCTGTGTCTCCCTCTCTCTCTCTGGCCCTCCCCTACTCTCTGTCCCTGTCTCTGTCTCCCTCCCCCTCTCTTTCAAGAATAAATAAACATGAAACAAATTTAAAAAGAAAGGCACGGCCTTGGGGAGTGTGCTCCAGCCCACTGGGTAGGCCTACATCTTCCTCTTGGATTTAGGAGGGTGATTTGCGGGGCGCTGGGCTTGCTGATTCTGGCTTACAGAACATTTGCTGTCAACAGGTTGCCACGTGGGGGATGGTGCCACAAGGCCAGCTCTGAGCTGGGAATGCGACAGGAGACAGTGTTCCCCTGTGCGTGTTCTTGCTGACACGTGTGGGGCTGACACGTGTCCTCCCTCCCGTGTGCCCGCCCTGTGTGAGCACACACCTGCCAGCAGCCTTGGCCTCTGGGATCCAGAGATAATAAAGCTCTCCTGCTTTTGGGGGGTTCAAGCCCAGTGAGCTGGGGGGCCTGGCCGTGTCGCGTCGGCTGAGCATGTTCTCAGGTCCCCACGGCGTGGCCCACCAACCTGGCCTCTCGCCGCCGTGGTGCATCAGTCAGGAGAGGTAGGAAGCCTCGCTTTGCGCTGGCCTCTTCCTGAACTAGACCCTCCTAGCCCCCACTTCCAGAGTCAAGGGCCCCTGAAGGTATTTGCAAATAATGGACACCTTGTCACGTCTGCCTGCGCTTGACTTGTTTGCTGTAATTCTTGCTCAGACTTCTCTTCCGCGAGGTGGGCGCTCTGAGATTCCTGGATGCTGATGGCATTCCTTTCCTGCCCAGGGTCGGGCAGGGTCACTCTCCGGAACCCCTCTTTGCCCCAAGGAGTGCCCTTTGCCGGTTTCCCTTCTTGCACTCCTGGCTTTGGCATTAGAGGAGGTGAAAAAGTACGGGCTTATAATTCATTCCTAAGAGCGTGAGCACAAGGCACCCCGGATGTCTCCAGACCAGCCGTGGCACATTGCTGGCCAGTCAGCTGAGATCCAGCATCAGGAACGCGGGGTCTTTGTGGGAACTGCTGTTGTCCGCCAGAATGGGTCTAAATATAGTCAAAGTAGGTGAACTTACTATGCTTCCTGCATTTATCCTTTTAGCTGAAATTTCCCTGACTTTTCTTTACCTTTTCATTTTATTAGGTTAATAAAACTTGGTTTTTGAGCATTTCGCCACCCCAGGAGGGCCGTGGGCCCCCCGTCCAATTCATCAAGTACCTAATGAGCGGCCCCGGAGGTCCCGGGCCATCCATTCCAGAAGCTCTCTCTGCCTTGTAAAGGTGAGGCCCACGGGCTGCACTGTATATTTTGTCTGTTGGTTTCCCAAATTCTCCTGCCTGCTTGACTGTCACTTCTGGGGATTTATACGAGGCAGCGGCACCGCGGGCAGCCCCCCCTCTGCAGGAGGACCCCTCCTTTGCCTGCTTTTCACACACACCACACTCTCCGTGCCATAAAATAACGTTTCTGTAATAAAATGGAGTAGAAATGTGTCGATGCTAGCATTTTAGAACATTCCAGCTCCAGTGCTGTGGGAAATCCCTACGTTTACATTAAGGAGGGAAGCTCTGTGAGAGTAGGGGCTAAAAAAGTGTGAAAAAAAAAAAAAGGCCTTTAGTAAGAAGACATAGTCTGGGCTTTAAATAAATGACACCAAGAAGGTGTGCGTGTGCGTGTGTGTATGTATGCAGCCCGCACGCTGTTTTTACACATGTGTTCCCGCCGCCCCTGGTTTATTGTTTGTGTTTCAGAGAAAGACCAGTAGAAGAGTGTGTGGATGCTGCCTGCATTCTGGCCCAGAGTCTGGACTCTGTCCTCTTCTAGAACATTCTTCCTCTTCCTCCCCCTGTAGGCTCTCTTGCCTTCGCCAGCTTGTCAGGATGCTGCCAGCTCCGGGCATGGGGCTGTGTCTGCCCCAGCATGGTGGAGAGCTGGAATCTGAGCACTCGAGCTTGGGGACAGGTCAGCTCAGGGAATGGAGACACGGCCATGGGAGGTACGAGGGCGGGGCGGCCCCGGGGCTGTGGGGGCCTCCAGCCACAGGGCCCCTGACTGTGCTCACTGCGTGGCCTTGTCAGTATTTGTGGTTCGCGTCCCCAGCTCCCCTGGTCTGGTTGAGCTTCTAGTAAACGCACGGCCTCTAATTGACTGCACTCTCGAGGGCATTACATGATTGCTAATAAATTACTCCATCCGACTGTAACTTTCTTCCCTTCCTTGCAGCTGCCCACCTTGAGCCCACAAGAGGAAGGAGCACGGGGAGGAGGTTGTGCTTGTGGGGGGTGCAGAACAAGGGAAAACAGAGAAGCCGGCTTGAACCATCTCTCTTGCGATGTGCCCTCTGCATTATCACCCACTGGCCCCGATGCCAGCTGACAGACCTCATCCAAACACTTGGCTGGGATTTGGGGACTTCTTTTAATGCCTGGTACGTGGGCAGTGGTGAGGAGGTCTGTCCCTCTTCTGTGGTCTCTGTGCACTTGAGGAGGAGGGGTCTGGAGGGTCTCTGAGGTCAAGGGGAACATCCATGGGGAGACAGGCATCATTCAACACCTCCATTCTCCGACGCAGGGAAGACACAATTGTGTGGCTCTCAGCAGTGACCTCAGAGTGTCCACATGTCTCGGAACATGTGTCCTAGGTGTGTGCATCCTCCTGGTTCCTGGTGGCCATGTGTCAGTGGCTCAGAGTCCACACACGGAGGCCACAAGTGGCTGTTCTGATGGGGCTTAGAGGGAGTAGGCCCGGCTTATGCCTGCGCTTAAAGCCTCTCAACCGAGGGCTGGCCCTTCTCAGTTTCCCGTTGCCTGTCGAGGGGCCTAGAGCTAGGCTCTGGTGCAAAATTTCCCACAAGCACCTGGCCCTTCTCCCCGCCTACCCTTCTTACTGTGCACTCCCTGGGCACTCGATGATCTGAAATCCACTTGGAAGGGTTTTTGTTTTGTTTTGTTTTCCCTCCTTGACACCTTGGAATGCAGTGGGCCGTCTCTTTCTGCTGAAGGATTTCCCATTACCCTGTGGGCTCGAAGGGGGACCCCAGGCCCAGAGCACGGAGGTAGCGTACGTGGTTCTCATCATGGGTTTAGTCCTGTCTTAACTGCCCTGGGGATGCTGCCCTATTTGCCCCCCTCTCTGTACCGAGTCCCCCCGACAGCAGCGCCCCGCCCCCTCAGGCCAGCCCACCTCCAGCCTCTCTGACTGAAAGGAACGTTCATGCCTGGGCCATCTGTTTGTTTAAACTCACCCCGTGCCAGTCCATGTTAAATGCAACAGAATGGAGAAAAATGTCATTCTTTGTCGGCCTCTGATCAAAGAGAGGATATAAAAAAAATTCAAGATGGATTTCTGAAGGACAATGTTGTACACATTCCCTGTGTTTCCGAGCTGCGGTGGTTAGTTGATTTTGGGGGGAAAAATCTTTTTTCCCCCCTTTTGATCCCGGGGAGAAAACACTCACACAAACACATCTTGGCACCACAAACATTGCAAGATGGGCCCTTGTCTGTAGCCTCCCCGGCTGGCTGGCTGGCGGGTAGAAGGTGCTGGCTTCTCATTTATCAACAACACGAGAGAATTTGGAATACGACTCACTGCAGCGTGCAGACCCTTTCCTCCTTCTGCGGGCATTCAAGGCGAGGTCACTGTTGTCTGGGGTGACTCAGGACCCAGGATGCTCCCCCCGTGCCCAGAAACTGCCGGCCCGGCTGCCCCCTCCGTCTCCTTCACCCCCAGCCATTAAGAGTACGTTTCTCCCTCACTCCTTCAGCCGTGGAGCAAATGCAAATAAAAAGCACTTAAAATGGTTAACATTTCCTGTCACTGAAGGCATTCGTTAGGGGTGGGGGTCGCTGAGTTTTCAGTGTATTTTCATAGGAAAACTCATTTCAGATCTGCGGCAGGAACTCGGACAACTCACACAGCGGGCCTCGGGGTTTGCCGGGAGCCCGAGCCCTGAGTCAGCCGGGTGACCCTTTATGTCATGTGGGTACAGGAGAGCAAATACCCGGCTTCACACTGAGGCCAACCTGGGGCCCAGCTCCGGTCACGGGAAAAAATAAAATAGGCTCTTGCCCACCCCCTCTCCCCTTGACGCATTTTCTTTTCCTTTATTGGAGAAACCCTCTCCCCCCAAATTTGGTAATTTATTTTGTTGTGTTTCTCTATTGATCGTTTAGCTAGTGAGTTTGCTGGCTTCCTGGATGCTCATTTCTGGTTCTGCACAAAAGAGCCACATTTCCTTTTGGAACCGGGACCAGGAGACAGACAGCAGCAGACATTGGAAATTGTGAGTACTCTTCCTCCACCGCCTCTCTGCCCCTGTCCGTCCGTCCGTCCTGCCTCCCCTTTCTTTCTCTACCAGCACACTGTCTGTCGGGCTCCTCCGCGAACCCCTCTGGCAGCCCTCGGCACCACTCTGGATTTTGGGAAAGGAACCTCTACAGTTTCTGCACAAACATCCATGGGGAGGGGAGGGGTGGGGGGGGTGCTTCCCAGCGTGACTCCCTCTACTTCTCATTTTGAGGCTCCGAAAGATGGCGAAAGTACACAGAAGGAGGCTGGCTTATTTCAGGGCGAGCAGTGAGTCCCCACTGAATTTACCTAATAAAACGAATTTTAAAATTTTCATTTTCTCATTTTGTTCCAGCAGAAAATGAGCTTGCCTTTATAATGTCCAGATCTTTCAAACTGAGTGAGAAATTAAGTTACAAAATGTAAATACTTTGGTATACATGCACGCGCGCGCGCGCACACACACACATATATATATGAAATGAAGTAATCCCTGACGGTAATGCAATAGCAAGCCTGACTTTAGGCTCCTAGGACATTTAAAAAAATTTTTATGACGTGCAATAAAGAAAAGTAAGGTTCAGTAAAAATGTTTCTCTTTAAAAATGGATGCTTTGTGATACTTAATAAATTTAATTGTAATTTTCATTTAACATGAGTTGCTTATTTCTTAAAAATCTTCTGAACGTCTTTGTGAAATATTGGGAGGATTGTAAGAAGGTTAATATTCTAGTCTACAATTTACTTCTTTTCACGAAACTATTCCAGGGAATCAGGGCAGTTTTGAAAGGACACAGTTCTCCGATGAAAAGAATACCCTGTGCTTAATTACGAAGAGAAAGTGATTAATGCTCAAATTTCAAGGCAAATCCAGCGATCGGTTAGGAGCAGGGAGAATGAGAAAAGCAAGCCAGTTATTTGCCTAAGAAAATCCAGAAATTGACCTCATTCGGAGGGATAATCGGAATGTGATTATATTTTTAGGGAAAAGTTACACAAACTTCAAAAATGGTAGTTGTTTTGCGTAAGTGCCTGGAAAGGGGATTCAGAATAATATTTGGGTTATCCTAGTTTTGTGCTCTCGTGTTCGTGAAGCCTCGTCAGGTTAAAGAACCCCAGGGTGGGTGTGAGCACGGGTGTGTGTGTGTGTGTGTGTGTGTGTGTGTGTGTGTGTGTGTACCCCCTTTGCCCCCAGCCCCGGGGGAGTGTGGGGAGGAAAAGGTGGGTGCCGACCACTGGGAAAATAAATCTTCACCCCAGAAATTCATAACTCATCGAAAACTCTTAGAAATTAAACATAGCAATGCTCTCACTCTCTTTAACCTCCTCTTTGGGGGTGACAGGGGAGGGCAAGATTGCTGCAGACCAGAGGCACGTCAAAAGGCTGTGGCCACTTTCCTGCGCGTCTGCCTGGAGTATCCCGTCCTGGCCCTCCTGGCTATGAAACCACGGCACAGGGCGACTGAAACACATTTTTGAAGCTTTCAAATTGGATTGCCAGAGCAGAAACCTTGGCCTTCTGATGCGGGCTCCCTTGCTGCCCGGCAGATGGCGCTGTGACTTCTGGAGTGGCCCGTGGGGGTGGGGGTGGGGAAGACACTGAGATTCAGCCCGAAATCCCATCAGGTCCCCCCATCAGGTCCCCCTTCACCTCCCCCCCGGGGTGCGTCCAGTCAGCTATAAACGTAAGAAGTAAAGAGTTTTTGAGGCCTCACTTGAAACACGCCGAGCTGTCAAAGTATTTAAAGTATTTAAGCCAAATGTTAATTAGCAAATGTGTCGCCCTCCTGGAATGGTCCGAGACGGCGCCCGGCTAGCGTTCAAAGAAGTATTTCCCGGAGATGTTTGAGATAAAAATGGAAGAAGCTTAGTAGCTATTTCAAGATCCGATCTATGGCCTGTTTATATTACGCAGGAAAAAAGATACCCTTACGATACTCCTGTAATAATCACGCAGAGTGTTACATGGCCATAGCACTGCGTGGAATTTTATGTGCAGACAAATGGCCAAGGAAAATCAGGCATGTGCAGATAGTGATGGGATCAGAGTCTCACCCTCTCAAAAACGGCTTTTCCATACGTGTGGGAATACGCGCCCTGGACCTTGGCTTTTATTCTGTCGGCACCTGCTAAAATGGGAGCTGCCAGATTCTTACGGCTTCTACCCTTCCTCTCCCAGGAGTGCTTTCAGGATGACTGTGTCCTCCTCCTCCACTGGGAAGAATGTCTACTTTATTTCAAAAGTAAACAAATATTTTTTGTCCTCGTCTTTTGCCAGGGAGAATCCCAAAATATGATGAGCACATCCTTCAATATATTTAATGTTAAAATTAAAATTAAGACAATTTTGGATGATTCCAATGTTTTTGTTCTTCACGGGACAACAGGATTCCTTAATTTGTTTTAGGTAATAATTTGCCACATTGTTTTTTTAATTTGAAAAAAAAAAAAGCATGCATGTTGAAACTACTTGAAATGCATACCAAGAGAAAGGTTTTTTTCTTTTCCTAAAAATGATGTTATCGTTTGTTTTGGGGGAAGAAAAAGATGGTAAGGGAATTAATTTGACTCTAAATGTGAAATAATATTTAAGGACATAGATATGAGTACGTGTAACATAGTAGAATGCCTTCATTGCGTCTAGTAGTGATAAAATATTGTTCTTTAAAAATTTAATCGAATGATGTACTGGCTTTTTTTTTTTTTTTACCTGTATGTATTTACAAAGTGCAAGTTACCTACTGCTCGTAAGTCTGCGTATTAACAAGATGATCGTGCAAGAAACCCAGCTGTTTAAATAAATTCTGTTCTGCTTTAAAGATTTTGCCCTTTGGGGGGAAAAGTCATTTAAGTATTGAGTGGCAGTGACCAGCTAACAATAGTTAAAATGAAAATAAATCTTCCCGAAACTTAGTTCTAATTTTCTTGAGCAAGATACTAACCCATAAAAAATAAACATTGTTTATTGAGCCACATTTGTATCAAGTGAACCTTTGTAAATTGATACGGAGAAAATATGAACTTGTATGTCCCAAATACTTTGGTCTGTTAGCAGAACAGAGAGAGCTATTTGATATGTAGAAACTGAAGAAAATAACATTAGTGATTCTGGAGAGAGATCCTTTCAGATTTGTGCAGACCCAGGGAGGTGATCGTATTAGAATTAACACAAAAATTTTTGTGTCACTGGGCACCGTGGCTTAAGGGACAGTTTAATGACACCAGATATTAATGCTGACTTACATTTTTGCTCCGGCCAACCTTCTTACCATCTTGTTCATTCCCAGAAATCACATTCGTGACAGTTCTAATAGGCCATTCAACAGCGAACATTTTCTCATTTAGCCGAAAATATTTCAGGTTTCAAAAACCCAGCTAGGAAAAGCGCTTTCAGACTTCATGTACATGAATAAGCTTGTTTGGGGCAAGACTTTTGTGGAAAATGAACTCAACCAGACTATTTGCCCAATTTCAGTCTAAAATATTTTTATGTTTCCATTTGCCGACCGACCAGGCTGCTGGGACCTGAGTCGATGCAAGGGTGATTGTCTCCTCTCTTCTGGGCTTTTACTGTTTTAATTTTTACTTCTTAAATACTTTTTTTATACTTTAGTCTTTACTGTTTTATTTTGGTGAAAGGGTGGAAAGTGGCCCGGGTGCCACGTTTGCCTGTGGGTTTACAGAGACGCAGAGGCCTGTGTGGCCAGCAGGGAGGACAGGCCGCACAAATCCCTGGCTAGGAGCGGAGGTGCGCCATTGCGGAGTCTGAGTCCTGTGTTTGTAAACTTTCCACTTTCTGTTTTTTGAGAAAGTCACGTCTGATCTCTGCCAGCAGAGGTGGGGAGGCGCATTTACTTCCCTCCTAACAGCTGAATGCAATCAGAGCTCTTACTTTGTGTTGTGTTTTAGTTAAAAGGTAAAAGAAAAGAGAAAAAAGATACCCAAACAAACCAGAAGACACATTCGGCATCCAGTCTCGGACCGTGAATGGATAGAGCCGTCAGTGGGGGGATAAAGCCCACAGGACACAATGCGTTTAGCTCCTCCTCCTTCCCTCCCGTGAAATTCTCTCAGAAGGAGATGGGGAATCGTGGGATTCCATTCAGGGGTCAGCGAACACGTTTAAGCTGCATGTCAGGAGAAAGAAGGCTGAGATCCTTTGTGCAAACAAGTGCCAGAATATCAAATCCCTGCCTGTCTCTCAGAAATGCTCTGAGTGTCTCTGAGCGGTTTGGGGAAACAAGCCTTGCGTGCCACTTTTCTCAGTGGCCCTGCCACGGCCGCCTCCAAGGTGCCCAGCAGGAGCCGTGCCGGGGCCCCAAAGTTCCACGCTGACATTCCCCTGGAGGGGGTCTGGGCACGCAGGTGCACCCCCAGGCTGCGGTTGGGCTTGCCCTGCTGGGGACAGAGCCACGTTCCCAGTGGGAGCCCTCGGATCACCCGGCCTTGCGGCACGAGCACCTGTGGCCACGGACCCGGCCTGGACAGGGGCTCAGACAACAATGCCATGTTGCCGTTCTGTGATGGCTGCTCTCGCTGACCACCCCGGTGCCCCACCTTCTTGGAACCCTTATCTTGGACCCTCAGCCACTTCACAAATTACCGTGTTTTCGTTTGCCGGTTGACTGTCTCCCCTGCCTAGAATCTAAGCATTGGGATTGTTGCAGACTTACGACAAGGGTGGGTGTTAATCCAGAGGTGGCCATGTGCCAGGCATGGCCTGAGACAACTGGATACTGCCTGCCAGGGTAGGGACTGCTGTTACCCTCGTCTGACAGTTGAGGAAACTGAGTCCCGGGGAGGCCGAGTGAGACCCTCGAGGCCTCACAGCTGCTGTGGACTCGAATCCAGGCCAGGGGATCACAGACCCCACGTTGTGCAGCAGGGCCTGAGCGCTGTGCTCAGTCAGTATTTGTCGAGTGAGGTGTCACTCCTGGAGCAGGAGATTGGGGCTCACGTGGGGCTCTGCCCTCACTCGCTGCTGACCGTGGGGGATTCCTTAAACTTCCTGAGCCTCGGTTTCCTCCTGCATAAAATGGAGCTGACAATCTTCCTTTTCCAGGTTGTGAAGATTTGAGACTGTGAACGTAAAGGCGGGGCCTATAGAACGTGCTGGATAAAGGTCTCTGGGCCAGTCCCTGGAGCCCCGAAATAAATGGGCAGAGGGGGCTGCCTGGCATCGCGTCTTGGCCACCTACCGGCCGGACACCCCAGGTGAGTCTCTTGCACTTACTGGATCTTGGTTTTCTCTCCTCTTCCTGCTTCAGAGGCTCACAGAAGGAGGGAGAGTGGAGGCCACGGTCTTCCTGAAGGCATTCGCACACCCTGTGACCCTCCCATGCCAGTGCCTTGTGGTGGGAAGCGTGGCCCACAGACCAACGGTGTCGGCGCCGCCTGGGGGTTGGTTAGAAATGTGGAGTCTCAGGCCCCACCGAGACCTCCCACATCAGACTCCGGGTGTGTGTGCCCTGTCCTGGCCGCTGGAGAAGCACTGCCCTGGAGCACACGGGGGACGGAGGGGCACATGCCCCATAGCTGGCTCTCTGGGGGCCCTCGGCCCTCGGTTCCTCCCCTCTTCCCGTCCTTGTCCGTCCTGTGCTGCAGGGCCCTGAGCGGCTGCCTGCACAGCCTCCCGCGTCCCTGCTTTCGCCTGGTCTGGGGGGAGGCGGGAGCCACGGGGCATTCGGCCCATGGTGCTGCTTGCAGGGACAGGCCCTCGCCTGCCCTTCCGTCCCGCAGTACGGGGATGCTCGCTGCTCCCTGTGCCTGTGTGTCCCCTGGGCCCCACTCTGGTGGGCCTTTTCCGTCTCCGCAGAACCGGTTCCAGGTATTGAATTTGCTCCTTTGAAGTGCTCTGCGAAGTTTCTGTTTTTCTTGGTGGGATCTAGCACCAGCCACGTGGGGCAGGGGTCTTGAGGTCAAAAGGTCCGGGCAGGGATTGCAGCTCTCCCACTGGCGTGTGCCATAGCCCTGGAAAAGTCAGCGCCCCCCCCCCGCCCCGCTCCCCCCCCACCCGCCCCCACCTGCAGCAGGTGAAACGCATAAATGTTCTCGGGTCTTCACCCCTCCCTGTGGCCAAGCCCTCTGCTGAGGATTTGCAGCTCCTTCTACCAAGAGGCAGGTGGGTTTCCTCGCCCCTGGATCCAGGTCTTGCCATCCGACTTGCTTCGGTCAGTGGGATGTTAGCAAACTTCACACAAGCAGAAGCTTGGAGACACATGTCCCTGTTTCCAGCAGCACTCTCGCGGCCCTGCTGCCAGCATGAGACGTGGCTGTGCCGGCCTGAGGAAGGACGAAGAACGTGCAGCCCGCTCGCCCGGTCAGCGCCGTGGAGCTCCTGCACACGTAAGTCAGCCTAGCCAGTGTCGGCGGGGACGCCCAGCTGACTGCCCAGGCGCAGGGCCGGTAAATGCTGCCCTCGCGTGTCGCGAGGCTTCGTTGTGTGCAGCTTGCTGTGGGGAAAGCTGTTACCCAGTTGCCAGTGTGACGAGCCGCTCGCGTGGTCTAAGATGGCCCTTGAGAACACGGTCGTGCAGCCGGGCCGACGGAGACTGGGATTCCGGCTCAGCCATTTCCGAACAGCTGTCCTGGGGGAAGTCGGTTTGTTTCTCTGGGCCTCGGTGTTGTCCTCTGTAGAGTGGGGATGACAGTAGGACCTACCTCAGGGGGCTTGTGGGAATTGAGGTGATATGTGTAAGGCACACAGAGCACAGCAGGTAATAACTGTCGCCATTATTCTGAGCAGGATTAGTGATAATATTGTTATAAAAGCCAACAACCATGATCCAGCCTTCACTCTCCTCTCTCTGATCCCTGACACGTGCCCTCGAGGTTTCAGCCATGCTCACGACTGCCTGCTCCTCAAAGGCTCCATGCTCCCTCGTGCCTCAGTGCCTTTGCACATGCTGCTCCTTCCCCTGGGGTGCTGAGACTAGTGAGTCTCTTTTCTTCAAGACCCCACTTAAGTGCAGTGAAAAACTCAGGGTGGTTATCTGAATATTTCCCGTCTTCATCCTGTCCTGTCCCGGCTGTCATATGCACGAGCATATTCTCAATTCAACTCTGGGGTCCCCTTGAGTTAGCCAGATGCCCTCACTCATTCATCTAGCCAAGAAGCTACTGTGCACGGGGTGCTTGGACGGCTCTGGTCTCCGGCTGCGAACAGCATGTCTGTCGGGGCCCATAGTCCACTGGGAAGGCAGACACGTGCGTGGGCAGCCACAGGCTTTGCAGGCAGGGTTTGATGGGGCCGCAGGTGCACAGAGTTTCAGGGAAGCTGTCCAGATGGGCATCCGAATGGAGGTGTGAGAGGTCAGCCTGATGTGGGTGCAGAGGAATCCGGGCCTCTGGGTGAGGGATCCTGGGAGGGGCGCGGGGCTCTCCTGCGGGCCTCAGTGGGGAGGGGACTGTGAGGGCAGGTGTGGTCTGAGCCCCGGGCGGAGGTCAGGGTGCAGGGGGCTGCTCTAGCTTCATGCCACTTGTCCCCAACCGGGCAGGCGGGGTGTGGCCACCCTGGTTTGCAGATGCAGACGCTGAGGTCCCTCCTGGGAGGGGATCCCTGTCACTCACCACCCAGGGTGGGGGGGAAAGCAGCTCTGGGCATCACATTTATGTCTCGGGGAACTGGGAGGCTGGTTTCACTGCAGAAACAGATAAGATAAAACAAACAAACAAAACACTTATCTTAGGGCATGGAGGGAGCCTGCCATTCCATGCCCCCAGGAAGCCAAGAACATAGCAACTGGATGGCGTGCCTTTCGACCGTCTCAGACGGGCGAGGGGGAGGCGGCTTCCATGGGGGCCACCTGGCTGCGTTCTGGTGTCCCCTCGTGCAGGAGTGGTGGGGCCGCAGCCCTTCACACTCAGCAAGCGCGTCAGCGGGGACCATGTTGGTGGGCAGTGACGGGATCGGGCTGTCTGAGGCCCCGGGCGGCTGGAGGAGGGCAGTCTGGGCGGGGGCCCGGCTCCCCCGTCTTTGGGGCCCAGAGCCCGTGGGCTCTCGGTCACGAGATGTACCCCGCACCCGTGAGGCTCAGGGCTGCACCAGCTAGAGGCGCGCTGTCCTGTCGTGGCGGAAGGGTTCTCTTGGGCAGCTCACCTCCGTCATCCTGGCTGCGACGCCGTCACCTGACCACTCTCGCTGCAAAGGAGTCTGGGAAACTGCATATTTTTAGTCGGGTCCACTGCCAAGCCAAATAACACCAGAATCCTGTCAACAAGGAGGGGTGGGGTGGTGAGCAGATGTGGTCAGGCAGCCAGCAGAGGGCTGGGAGCACAGCGTGGGTCATCGGTGACTGCTATGGACGCCCTCCCAGTTCGAAGGTGAGGGACGCGTTTCTCTTTGCAAAAACCCTTCTGGTGAGATGTTTATCTCCTCGCATTCTGGAGATTTCACTCAGGAAAAACAAAATGAATTAACATGTTTCTACCGGTTGGGAAAATACGGGGTTGGGTTTTGGCCAAGACTCCCCCTAAAGTGGGTGGCATCTTTTTGGACGGTTGTTCCACGGAGAAGGAAATGGGGGCACCGAGAGGTTGGGGGTTCACCCAGTGGTTGGTGACAGAGTGGGCTTCAAATGGCAACCCCCCGCCTGGCCCCGCGGTCCCGGCCGCAGCCGCTGAGGGTGTCTCTGGGCCTGCACAAAGTCTGGGGCCTGCAGGGGCCTGGGGTTGGGGTCGTGCTGGGGATGAGGGCTCCCCCTTCTCAGCCACACTCTGGGAGGTGCCACTGCCTCCCTGGTCCTGCTGTAGCCCCCACAACCCTCAGGCTCCTGGGTGACCCGGGGGTTTCTGCCAGCGGGCTCTCTCAGCTCAGAGCCTGGCCCTGGGAGTGAGCTCTCTCTGCTTCTGGCTGACAGCCTCCTCCTGACCTCGTTGCACACTGTGGGGCCAGAAAGGGCTCTGGGGTGGCAGCTGGTGGGACTGGGGTTCCTGGTGGGGAGCTCAGGAAGTCTGCTGGCCGCCTGCGTTCACACACCCTGAGACGCTGGGCACGGCGCTGCTCCCCGCACCCCTCCTGGGCTCTGAGGTGCTGGGCGGGGCACTACCCCCTTCCCCGGCTCTCGTGGCTGGTTCCCCTTGAGAGCAGGCAGCTGGGTCCCTGCCGGGGCTGCTGAGAAGAGTGTGAGCAGGGTGGTGCTGGTGCCTGCGAAGAGCACGGGGGCAGTGGTTGCCCTGGCAGCTCGACCCGGGTACCAGCCCTTGGGTGCCACAGGGACACTGCTCGAGGGGAGCGGGACACGGGCCCCATTCTCATGCTGTCACTGAGCCCTTCTCAGCCTCGGACTCCTGGCCCGCTCTTTGGGAACATTCCCCAGGTTTCTCTCACAGGGTTGCTGTGAGTTTTAGAAAGAAAAACATTTCGATAGTTAGCGTTTACGGAGCACGGATCACCGGCCAGGCCCTGTGCTAATCCGCTCACGGGACCGTGTTTCTGGTGCGCAGCTGGGTGTCTGAGTGCGCTCGGAGTGAGGATCAAACGTATGCCCTGCTTCTCCAGCCCCTCCTGTGCCAGGTGACCCCGAGCCGGGTTCCCCTGCCCATCACAGGGCAGGAGGGCCCTGATGAAGGTTTTGTGGCTTCCGTCGCAGGGCGCAAATGAGCAGAGGCAGCCCCGCATCTCCCCGTGGCCATTCCTGGAAACCTCGTCGCAGGACAAGTGATAAAGGAGATGGGGAAACACGGTGCGGAAGCTACGTACGGTCAAGCTGTGTTCCCCAAACGGGGGCTGTCCGCCAGTGGGCTCTTGTCGGGGGTGAACTTCCTGCCCCCCCTTAAATCAGAGAACACTTGTACCCAGTAAAAGTAGGCGGTTACGGACACGTCTGTGTCCCACGGACCCTGCCACGACACCTATCCAAGTTGACACTTCTGTGTGTTGCACTTAGCTTTTGTGTCTTCGGTTCATGTCAGGGTTCGGTAAACATGCAGTTAACAACTCGTCTCTTTCTTTAGAGTGCTGAGGGGCTTTAGGGCATTCTGTGGGGGGAAACCTTTTCTTGAGAGCCTTGCTCAAGGAGGTCTGGTCTTACTGCACCTTCCTTTCTGGGAAGAGGCCCGGAGCCACTCAGAATTCGTCTTCGGACCCGGTAGTGCGGTCATAGGCGGGCATCTTCCTCTCTCGCAAGAAGGGTTCTGAGATGCAGGCTTGCCTGGCTGACATGGGTGCCAATTGGGAAGGCATTGGGCTTCCAAGTCACGAGTGGCCCAGCCTGAAGTGGCTGCACCACGCACAGGGTCCCTCCGGCCACGTGACGAGGCTGTCTGGCTGCGGGTGCTCGTGCGCTTGCTCCGTGCGGACAAGCCAGCATCTCAGGCAACTTGCATTCACACCCTGTGGCTGCTGTGACAGCTGACCACCGACCCGGTGGCTCTAGTCTTCAGTCTGGAGGTCAGAAGTCCGAAGTCAAGGTGTCGGCAGGGATGAGTCCTTCTGGAAGCACCAGGGGTGAATCATTGCCCTTCTCAGCTTCTAGGGGCGCTGGCACCCCTCGACTCAGGGGCCCTCTGTCCCTTCGCCCAAGCCGGCGATGTGGTGTCTTTCCACCTCCCTTCCGGTCACATCTGCCCCCTACTGTCTTCTTCTGCTGTAAGGACTTGTAAGGACCCTGGTGGCTACACTGGGCCACTCAGATGATGCACGGTACTCTCCCTCTGTTAAGGGCAGCTGATGAGAGACTCTCATTTCACCCTACTTCCCCATCGCCACGTAAGGTAACGTTTTCACAGGTTCTGGGGATTAGGATGTGGACAGTTCTGAGGGCCCATCGTTCTTTCTACTGCATTGCTATGACCTGTCCCATTATGGTCTCAAGATAGCTGCTGCATCACCAGACATCACGTCGGCGTTCAGAAGAGGAAGGAAGAAGGGCTCCAGGACTGCGACAGCTGGGTCTGTGTCATTTAATCAGGAAAGCAAACGGTTTCCCAGGAGTGTTCCAAAAGATTCCATTTATAGGCGGCCAGGGAGAAGCGGGTAGGAAGACCCCGGCAAGCGCACACGTCCGTGGTGACGGCTACAGTCCCCTTCCCGAGTTCCTGAATGCGTTTCGGCAGCTCTTGGTGGACCCACGGCAGGAAGCGGGACATGGTGGCTTCCAGAGCGCGTCTCCAAAGTTTTCCGTGGGCTCATGATGGCAGCTGTAAAATGAACTTGAGCACCTGCCCCCGGATCAGTGGGGCAGGTTCTGGGCTTTACTGGTGATTTCTCCCCCAAAACACACTGACTCTGCCTGAACTCATTCAGCTAACCTGGAGGTGAGGACACACATCCCACGGGCAGTGTGGGTCCCTGGTGGCGGCAGGAGCTACTGAGGACCCACTAGGCCACCCCTGCCCCCCGACGCCCGCGTGCCCCAGCAGCATGGCGCTCCCCCAGATACTGCGTGCTCACAACATACCTGGGAAATAACTGACACTTTCGAACCCTCAAAGGCTGGTTCTCCCAGGGAGCTGGCGTCTTGTGGGAACCACAGAGAGGGACAAGGCGAGACCCCTGCCCTCCACAGAGACACAGCTCCCAAGTGTCGGGCCCCTGCACTGTGCAGGCTGTGTACTACTCTGATTGCGGCTGGGTGACACTGGGCAGGTGACTTGACCTCTCTGAATCTCGTTCCCTGGCCTGTGAGGGCCACGGGGAGGATCACGCGTGGAAGGGGCGTGGGAGGGTCCGGGCACACACAGCACACCGAGTGCCAGCTTTTACCTGCTTGTCACCCTTTCCGAGGCACACAGGCAGCACCAAGGCTCAGTGTCTGGATCTGACCCCGCGGGGGCGCCACACACAGCAGGGGTGGAGGGTGAGTCAGTTGGAGCCGCGTTCTTCGCTCACGCTCTCAGAACGAGCCTCGCGTGACACCGCTGAGGGTGGCCTCTGGGTCCCAGCTTAACGACCACCACCCTCCCGGCTCCGTCCCGCGTCTTCTCCACAAGTGTCTGTCTGTCTCTGGGTGGAAGCCACGGAAGGGGCCCACGAGCCACACCTGCTGGGCCTGGCTGGGAGGGCTGACGGGGCAGAGCAGCGGGTGCTGTGGCCGCCAGGACCCTCCGTGCGCACCAGCTGCTTCTCTGCACGCGCGACGGCAGCG